ACATTTTATTATGGTGCTAAGTCTCCTTTTCTCTCGTTGCAACACACGGGTCTTTTTGCTAGTCTTCTCAAAAAATAAAAATTTATCTCACAGTCTCGTCTTGATTAAAAAATCATAGGGGCTTCTCCCTTACTGGTCAAGATTTTTTACACAAGGAAGCAACAATGGCAGCTCAGGTTTGGCGCCGTCCCGGTCGGCCGACGACGCAGTGCAGGTGACGTTACTGCACGTAGCTCTGACCACTCCGCGCTCATGCAGATACGCCGCCCGTTTTTCTCCTGCTCTACCAACGTCGAAGGGTATCCCCGACTAGCGTTGGGTGCTCATTCCCTTACCAGTGACGCAACGGAAAAGGACGCCTGAATTTGAGGCACGGGCATCACACCGCAAGCGGCAATGGATGAGGGAGATGTCGGCTGCGGGGGAGGCGTTGACCGCGCGCCGGTGTATTCGGAGGACGTGCTACTCATGTCGTCCTCCGACTCTTCCTCGCATCGACGAAGACCGACACACGGCGGCTCCATCGCAAAAATAACAAAGTGCTTCGGCTAGCCATCGAGTTGCCAGAGCGCGAGGCAATGACGGAGGCAAAGGTGTGCCCAGGAGCAGGAGCGCTTGGTCTGAAGGTTGGCCATCCAAATGTCCTTTGACAACACGTCAAACATCAAAGACGGATCCAACTTCGATGATGACGCCCCTTCGTTTGTCGATGCCTACACGGAGGGGCACAGCCACATCAACCACCGCAAGTGGAAGTGACCGGCGACGGAATGGTGATTTCCTCCGCCCTTCTCCATTTTATCTATGTTTTTAGTATGAATTTGCAATGCCCGACAATGAATTATGATCCTTTTTTGTCAGATAACTAATACGAGTGCAGCTGGATATCGACGACATATGCGGATGGATGGACGAGCGTAGGGCGGTGGCATTGCCTGGCGTCATGGTGGCGTCTACAGCTGACCTGGCAAGGTCTTTGCGTCGATACCTACTCTGAAGATGGTTAGGTGGATGACGGCTGCGGTAGCCTCGGTGAGTGTGCCGGACCGGTGTGTGACCCATTCCCGGTAAGCGGCTGGGATTGGGCAACCGGCATTAGATTTTAGGTTTTGTGCGATGTCTTTTTGGTATTAGGCTCGGACATTCGGCACCCCTGCATCAAGGGAAGATGAGTAGCGACAAGTGTCATCAAGATGGTGGCTTCAGGCTTACTGATGTAGTGATTTGTAAGGTCTCTGAGAATAGTTAATAAAATGGCTGCATCCATAGCTCAGATGCAGAGCCGGGGGTAATCCTCCTTTTCTAGAAAAAGTACTATGTGAATTTAGTCCGTTTGTTACTATTAAACATGTTCATCTACCTAGGGTTTCATGTGTTTGCATCGCTTTGGGGGTTATGATATAAGAGACACGGTTGTGAAAGCAGTCAAATGAGAAGTGACTGTTTAGTGCTCGTGGACGCATCCGGGCACGTCTGTCGGGCGTTTGTGGGGCCGGATAAGATATATCTGATTGTGCATGCTCTTAGCCTATGGCACTCAGTTGATCACCCAACCTATAGGCGAAAATATCAGGTGCTACCGGCTCTTAGGTTGTACCGTGATACTGGCTCTCGGGCCGTTGAATCTCAGGCTTCCGAGAGCTCTTGAAGATTTTGCAAAAAAGCCATTTGAGAGTTCAAATTTATGCATAGGTACATTAATTTCTTAGATGCCGTCGGATCTAAGATCGAACAACCCTTAGAAGCCAGTATCACGGTATCACCTAAGGTTTGGTAGCACCTGATATTTCCCCCAACCTACAAATAGAAAACCGACAACAGTTGCGGCAAAGAATGAAGAGATATGCAACGGTACTGTGCATAGATTCGTATAGATTCAGCACCGCCCGAAACTCGGATTCAAAGCAGCACGTGATGAGAATCCTCAGTCGCCGGCGGCCAGGACATCTGGTCTGGACACGCGATCTGATGCAACTGCGACTTGTGAACCCGACGCGAGGGCAAAGTGGCCAGCAGGATTACAAAGTGTTGACACCAGATTTTGGCACGGCCAAGAACTTAATTAAGATGGCCTCAAATGAAGAAGTGTTCAAAGTGAGAAAGCTCTGTATCGTCAAAAGAAGAAACTTTGATATTTGGGCCATAGCCATCCGGTCTCATTTCTAAGACCGAAGTTGCGTTCGAAGTAGTCAGATTTTGTATTAAGAACACTATTCGGCTGATTACGCCTCCAAGATGCCCTCATATGAGAAACGTTTCTACACGGATTGTCTTCGTCTCGTTGAAACGCTCGATTTTGATATAAGAAACGTCTAAATCGGAGTCCGTATGCAAAAGTTAGAGACAAAACAGTGTGCTGCATAAGTCTGCCCCGGAAGTTCCGAGCAAAACTTCCAGGGAGGTTCCGTGCTAAACCGAAAGTTTGCACGCGGTGCGCCCCAAAAACTGGAATTTTAACATTGTTTGCAGATTTGCGGGACCAATTTCGACATTAATATGACCTCGGATGAAAAAGTGATCAACTAAGAAATTTTTCTCCATTGCAAGATCTACAACTTTGCTTTTGGGACCATCGCGATCCGAAGCCATATACGACCTACAGGAGCTATGCAATAGGGCAACTTGATGTAATTTTAGCCCGGAAGTTCCGGGCTGACCGGAAGTTTCGGCCCTCGTAGTCCGAGTTAGGTTAACTTTTGATGTTTTGGACGGGATTTGAGTCCTTTTCTTGTACGGAAAGTCCACCCGCCTCATATACATGTAAGGGGTGACGGCCGATTGAACAACACACAATCGAACAAATCATCTATCACTTTTTATCTTTTATCTTTTCTCCTTAACCCTAGTTCTTCTTCTTCCTCGTTCTTCGTTCGTTCTTTTTGTTGCAGGGCGGCGAACCGCGAGGCCCTAGGGGCGATCAGGTCGACCTAGGGCAGTCCATAGCCGCCGTGCGCCCTGACGGGGTACCTCCTGGGCGTGTGGGGTTTCGGGTCCTCAAAAGCGCCCGTCGGATTGCCTGCATACCGCGCTTCCGGCGGGTCTTCTTCGACGTGAGCTGCGGTGCATCACCCCCGGCGTCGAGGGTACACGACGTGTTCGTGTGAGGACACACTTTTTGGAACTTCCGGGCTAAAATTACATCAAGTTGCCCTCTTGCACAGCTTCTGCAGGTCGCATATGGCTTCGGATCACGATAGTCCCAAAAGCAAAGTTGTAGATCTTGCAATGGAGAAAAATTCCTTAGTTGATCACTTTTTCATCCGAGGTCATCTTGATGTTGAAATTGGCCCCGCAAATCTGCAAACAATGTTAAAATTCCAGTTTTCGGTGCGCACCACGTGCAAACTTTCGGTTTAGCCCGGAACCTCCCCGGAAGTTTTACCCAGAACTTCCGGGGCAGACTTATGCATCACACTGTTTTGTCTCTAACTTTTGCATACGAACCCCGATTTAGACGTTTCTAATATCAAAATCGATCATTTCGACGAGACGAAGATAATCCGTGTAGAAATGTTTCTCATATGAGGCTATCTTGGGGGCGTAATCAGCCGAATAGTGTTCTGAATACAAAATCTGAATACTTCGAACACAATTTTGGCCTTAGAAATCAGACCGGATGGCTATAGCCCAAATATCAAAGTTTCTTCTTTTGACGATACAGAGCTTTTTCACTTTGAACACTTCTTCATTTGAGGCCATCTTAATTAAGTTATTGGCCGTGCCAAAATCTGGTGTCAACACATGGGGCTGACCGGAAGTTCCGGCCCTCGTAGTCCGAGTTAGGTTATTTTTTGATGTTTTGGACGGGATTTGAGTCCTTTTCTTGTACGGAAAGTCCAGCCGCCTCATATATATGTAAGAGGTGACGGCCGATTGAATAACAACACACAATCGAACAATCGATCTATCATCTTTTACTTTTACCTTCTCTCTTGTTCTTTTTCTTTCTCGTTCTTCGCTTGTTCTTCTTCATTGCAGGCGGCGAACCTCGAGGCCCTAGGGGCGATCAGGTCGACCTAGGGCAGCCCATAGCCGTCGCGCGCCCCGGCGGGTCCCTCCCGGGCGTGTGGGGTTTCGGGTCCTCAAAGCGCCCGCTAGATTGCCTGCGTACCGCGCTTCCGGCCGGATCTCCTTCGACGTGAGCTGTGATGCATCACCCTCGACGTTGGAGATACACGATGACGTGTTCGTGTGCGAACACAAAGAAAACCAAGCCAAGCATGCCAGGCCATACCACGCACAGTACGACACTACGATCCCTTTCACCATCGTCGTCGTGTTCCTGCATCGCAACGGTGGCAGGGTTCCTTCCATCCCACTGAAGCCCTCCCGTTTCAGGCTCAGGTTCAGCACGCACTGCTTGCGCGTCGTTGTGACCGTCGCCCACACTTGGGCCACTGCCGCAGCACAGCTGTGCACGCTGAATCGAACCTGCAGTCGTGTACCTGCCGCAGCCAACATGTGTCCTGAACAAGTTGCCTGCAGCTCACAGTAAGCTTGCCTGCAGATCCAACCATCCCACTGGGCACTGGCCACTGACTGAAGCCCACCGCTTCGACGTCGTTGTGACCGGCGGCCACACCCACACAGTCACGCTTGGGCCTTGCCCACTGGTGCAGCACAGCTTTGCACGCCGAACGAAACGAACCTGCAGCGGACATGTGTTCTGAACAAGTTACCTCGAGGGAGGGAGGGGAGGGAGCTCCTTCTGGTTTTGGACCTTTGCTTCGGAAAATGGAAAGGGCGGGCTCCTCCCTCTCCCTTGGAGGCGCCTCACGTACAGTACTACTCAAAGCGCCAAACTGTCGTTAGCGCTAAGCAAATCGAAGCATACTCAAAGCCAACGCGTGAGGTTCAGAGAAGCATAAGAAAAGTCAGTAGAAATTGTAGCGTTGCCATCTCGGAACTCGGTGGCCATAAGAAGTACGGAGACTCGGCAAGTATCAGCCAGCGTACACATACCAACCCTGCCGTGTAGTCAGTACTAGAGAGTCGAGAGAATGCAGAGGCCGGTGAGCACCCCGTCGTTCCCCGTCTTCGCGGACGAGGAGGGGGCGAAGGACCTGGAGGCCAAGCCGGAGAAGGCGCCCGCAGTCCGGCCGCCGGCGGTGACGGAGCGGTCCGTCCACCTCGTGCCGCTCATCGTCGTGCTCTGCTTCGTCGTCCTCTTCCTCTGCTCCCACGTCCCCTCCCCGTCGGGTACGTGCATCGCGCGTGTATGCAATGCATGCAACGGACGTCTTTATACAGCTGTGCTGCTGATTCTGAGCTCTGCATTTTGCTGCGTTTTTGGTCTGCAGATATGTCGAGCTTCGGAGGAGGGAAGGCCGGCGGCCGGAAGCCCAAGCTGCTCTGACGCGGACCAAGGAAGGAGACGGTCGTGACAAGAGCTCAAGAACTGAGCAAGTGATATGTCAAGGAAAAAAATGTGAACGTTTTCTGTTTTCTTTCTTGATCTCAGCTGTGTTAGACAGTAAAGCTGTACTGATCTCACTGCAGCAATAATAAAACGCATACAGAACGCAACAGTATAATGCTCTGATGGTTCTCATCATGTTGGTTTGGTTTCATGGTCCGGTGCCATTTGGTCACTCGTAATTGTGCGGTGAACAAACCTCTGACCATTTCTTCGTTGAAGACTGAAGAGGGTATAAAATGCGGCCTACTTCTACAACCGTGCTCGACAAATGTCCGGTGCCTGATGTTGCCATGCGATCGCACTTCCATTCGGCCACTCTTCACAGCAGAATAAATAAACACAAAGCATAAAAGAAGTTGTTTTCAGCAAAAGAATGAAGCATGCCAGCAGCACTGTACCAAGGGAACTCTTGCACGCCAACACTTCTGGCAACAACAAAAAAACTTAATTAGGCAATACAAGTATTCCTATCGGTGGTGGAATTATCCATTCAGTCCATTTGGGCCGCAAAAAATAACTGGGCTTATGACCTATTCACTGATCTATCAGTCTTGTAAAAACTCAGGAGAAGAAAAAAACACATCAGAGAAGTGAATATCATACGCAAACATTTTGACACCGCAAGTGCATGATAATATTGTTTGATCAATTAAAATGGCTGCTACAAATCCCAAACTCTTTCGGTCCTGATAAATTTCAACCTTCAAACAGGTGAATCACAATACAGCAGCCACAACGCTACAGCCTGAATTAAACAACCCACCTCATATGTCTATTTACATTCATGTATCAGCCAGATCATCATAGTATCAATCCCTGCGCAGGTTCCGGTTTCTTGGGAAGAGCAGTAGCAGGCGGTGGTGGAGACGCATCGCTGGAATCATCTACTGTAATGGGGAAAACTGCAGCGGTAGATATGGGGATATCTTCAGGGTTTTCAGAGACATGTATCTTTGTGACTTCACCATCCAAATCCCTGGGCTTTTCACGAGCGTCCGACATGTCAGCTTGTGCATGCCCGGCCGCTACGGTCTTGCCCTCCTGCTCAGCCGCTATTTTCTCCTTCGCCTTTGCCCCGACATCATTCGCGGTATTTGCAACCTTACTGAAGGCACCAGTTACCCATGCTGCTCCAGTAAGGACATACCTGTTCTTCATGATGGCAGATCCAGCAGTAGAGACGCCCTGTTCAGCAGCTGCAAGTGCTGACCTAGTCTTCTCGGAAACTAGATATTTCTGATCCATTTCCTTTACTTTATCATTTACAACTGAAGTACCAACGCTGATCTTCTCACTCAGACCGATTCTCTTGTCAAAGGAAGATACTCGAGCAGTCGCAGTTGATGTGAGCTGATGCTTCTCGTCTAAAGCTTTTGCTTTGTCGAGCGCATCCCTACCAAGAATGAACCCCTTGGCCAGCATGGTCCCAACGATGTCCTCTGCCTTCTCAAGAGCAGAGGACTTTGCATCTTTGGGCTGTGGATGCAAAGCAATGTAAGGAAATCCATTACCACCAGACAAAGACCATACTACAGACATGGATATTACACATCTCTAACCATACCTCTAGAGCAGCTAAAACATCAGCTGGTAGCTCATAATCAGTGGCTGGTGTTACGATGACAGCCATATCGACTATCGTGGCACCCTGCAACAGCAATCAAACCAAGCGCATCAGATATTCATCATATGAGTAGTTCCAGGCTTCCAGCAAGTATAAAGCAATTAAGCAGCAGAAATAGACACAATTCAGTGACATGCTATGTATTTGCAAACAGAAATCTATCTATCCAAAAGATATTGAGTTAGTGTTGAAATTTCCGTTGGGCAATGATTAGGTAAACTTAAACATTCAAATAAGCAAGCATGTACACATTATTTACTTGAAAGAGTCGATGGAACCAAGGAATATCTTTTTACATCATACTGTTTAAGCTGAGATCATGGTCACAACTTACATAACATGGTTTCCTATGAAAAATAACTATGTTTAGTACTCCCAATTGTACTGTAAAAACATCTTATATTTTGGTACAAAGGTAGTAACAAATACACAATCCATTCAGAAATATAGGGAAAGTTTTGTCTTGCTGTAGACCAGGTAAACAATACAAGTACTTAAGTACTATATTAAGCACATACCGTGGAGCAGGTAAGCAACCTCACTCGTTATCTCTGAAGTACTATATTCAACACATGCACACGGGCAATACAACGTAAAGTTGGGCATTTATGTTGCATTGGAATAGTAATTACGCCTTCTATATATATTCCAACGAATGGAGAATATTGGTGCATGCTATCAATGATGCGTAATTGCATGACAATACATTTCACAGGCTCAAGCAACCATATATCCTTGGGGGGAAAGGAAGTTCTTTTCAGAAATAGGAGGTAAAAAAGGTACCGTCAGAAGCATGGCTGTCTCAGCTCCTTGCTTATCTTTAAAAGCAATGTAGGCAACTTGAGACAGCTCGTCACCACTGCAAAACATTTAAAAGGTTAATGAGATTCATAGTACACAGTGGACCACAAGCATAATGAAGATCGTATTACTAACCTTTGCATTTCAACATGCACAAGGTCACCAGAAAAGGAAAAGAATTCCTTTACATCTCTTAGTGCTGCTTTCAGCGACAAATTGCTCACCATGACTGTGCTAAGCGTGCTTGTCTTCATCAAAGAAATAAAAGTACAAAAAGGAACAATTAATACTTCATCTGTTGTTCTAGGCTATATGAGCAAAAGCTCTGCAACACACACTTGTACAGTATCTGAAAAACTAATAAGTAATGCACACTTACATGCACTATCACCTAAACAACACCGATGGCCTAAATTGATAACTTGTGCCTTATCTTGTTTCTAGTAAGGCATTATACAATATCTAATGGGATTTCCTAATCAACATTACACAAACTCGGTTAAAAAAGAAAGAACTTACCACCTCCACAGCTCCGACCTATGGCAGAAAACGATGAATTTGTTCCCAATCTCTTAGGATTATTTTAAATCCGTACCACAAACTAATCTTTTTGGACAACATTGACCGCTAGCTGTTCATATAAAATGGCTGGAAACATATGCAGCCACTTTATGCATCAAGCTTAATATTTCAACCTCAGATGTTCATAAAGTGATTTATTCATGCTAAAAACTCATCTCCTTCGAAGGTTTGCATGTTTAAACTGTGCCATCATGCTAGCTTTTATGCACAACAACTATTCAATTTGTATGCAGATCAGTATGTGCCGTTCATAATGAACATGTATGTAGTACTCACAGTCACCGCCAAGACCTTTTTGCCGTGACAGGCATTGTATGAACCCAACTATATTTTACTAGTCAGTGCAACTAGCATATCGAATAAAATAAAGCAGCTAAACTGTAAAATGACACAATCGGCACTCTTTTGCTATTACTGACACCACTATAACCATTTTATGAAATGTAGTGGAGAAAGAAGGCTCACATTCACCATGTACTGATTGTTATATAACATTCTTGGTGTTCACAATGCAATGAAAAGAAGCAATAAGATCCATTTGCACCTAATACTTAGCACAAGCAAGTAGGCATAAACAGATAACAGGGACAGGATATAACCAAGTAATACAGGCTGGTTGAACCAGTCACTGCCGACATTAATCTCAACAAAAGGTTGCCAAAGAAAAAGGGTCAAGGAAGGCTGTTCATGGCTCACAAGTCACAGCACCTAGCCACAGGAGCAAACAAACAACTAGATGAATCGATTGGAATGCCACAGTAACAAACAACTAGATGAATTGATTAGAATGCCACTTGTTCATTTCAGAACATACTAAGTGATTTGAGTACCCCTAACAGCATTATACATGACTGGGCAGCATATTCAGATCCGCCGGCCATCGCACATTCAGCCAGGTAGAATGCCGACCGAAATAGGACAAGATTTCACTGGAATCAATTGGTAAAAAACGGCTGCCCGGCTGCCTCCGATGCACTGTTTCACATTACATCGCCGAGGAGCCAAAAATCTTAGTTCTCCAACCTTTGGCAGGACAAATTGACCAAAGAAAAATCTATCCAGGACAGCGTATGCCCAAATCTAGAACTCCCCAAAACCCAAACCCCTGTTTCTAAACCCTAATACGCAATCCAGATCAAGAGCCAAGAAGCACTCGGGCCGGAAATGGCGCCGCCGACGGCCGATAAAGAGAGGGGGGAACCGGGAGCTCACCGCCATGGCCGCGATGCGACGCCGAGATCTCCGAACCCTAACCGCTGACTTGAATCGGGAAACGGGAAGAAAAATATATGCGAGAAATGGATCCGCCCCGTGTCCAGCGGGTGCGATTTATAGGTGGGGGGAGAAGGCGGAGACGCGGAGTGGAGTGGAGCAGGCGGCGGTTCCTGCCGTCCAACTCCAGCAGTAGACGTGGAGGCGGTGACGTGGCGACGTGTGGGGCGCGCCGGCTGCTGGGACCCCACCACGCTTCGGCCCTTTTACTTTGGGCTCTGCCTGCTGGGTCTAGTCCAGGGGCTCAGCCGGCCTCGCCAACGAGAAAGCACAAATATTCCTCATAAAAAGGAAAAAAAAACGACAAAGCACAGCACAGTAGGGAGGGGAAGCGAAGCAAGGAACCCAATAAAGCGAAGTTCGTAAAGGAAATATACTGAGTTCAATAAAGGACTATTTGTCACAGCCCTAAAATAATTGCCTGCAAATAGTAGCATTTGCATCCATGCATCATGTTTAAATTTTTGTTAAATTTGAAATGGGGATTGATCAAACCCTAGCACCCCTTTGAATTACCAGGATCAACTAAAATATTTTCAATGAACCCAAAATGCCTTCAGAAAAGTTCAGCATTTTTGAATTGGTTTACAATCTCTGCAAAAAATGGTGCACATTTTTCTAGGTCATCCTGGATTTTTGAATTAAATCATATTGTATT